AGCATACATTCACCTGCGTGAAAAGTCATGGTCAGCCAATCTGGGACCACATCTCATTTGTATGATTCAAAAGTGCTAATCTTTCATATTCAAACATTATTGAAAGTCTTCTACTGAATTACAGATTATTGCAAAGACTTCCTAACGTGCAGAACTTTAATCTTGCAAGGGGTTAAAAGCCCAAATGTTTAGAGATCTGTTGTGTACCTGATGGTGCAAATGACTGCAAAGAGGTCAAAAAAAGTTCTGAACATCCCCTCTTTAGAGTGTCAAAGCCGAGGTCTGGAAGTCCATGTTTAAGATATCATTTTAGGAGCTTGAAGATATAAGTGAAATAACAATGTTGCATTGGGGTAAAGTCTGCTTAAGGCTTTAAAAGCCCTCACATTTACCATAGAGAATGGTATGACAGGCATACTAAACTTTGCAAAAGTGTTGATTTAGTTGTTGAAAATGCTCTATGTTCATGAAGCGTTTTGAAGATTCAGTGTTTTGAAAGCATTCAGTTCATTTGTTAAAGCCTTCAAGCAGGCAGCCTAATGCTCTGCATCTCTCCTGATGCTCTTAAATTGCTGTCTGTATAGGAGCTGTGTCAGTCACTCCAGCCATACAGTAATGGAGATTATTCAGCTCTAGTTATGTGGAATGGGTTGCTGAGTACGGGTTCAGTCTCTTCCCTACAGTACATGGCTTTGCTGCATTGGCACCTTTTGAGTTAATCATTCTCTCTCAGTGGAGGGCTCTGATGGCCTCTTGTAGCGTGGCTGATTTTCACTTGTTTGAGACAATCTGGTACTGTTTGGTCTTTCACTCTCACGTGACTCATCCAGCTGCCAGTAACAGCGTTCCATTTCTCAGTGTTGTCGTGGTAAATTTTGGACATCACATCCAAACAAAACCAAGAATGGCAAATTAATTTTTTTTTTAATAAAATGAAGTAATTAAAGAGAAGAAACAGTAAGAAGAAAAAAAAAAGGCAAATGACCTAGTTTGGTCTTCGCCACAAACCCCACAATGCTCTGGGGATATCGAAGTATGTTAGGCAAATACTTCAAATCTATCTCGATTTCGAACATGAGTCATTTCAGTTCTGCATCATTTCAGTTATTTGTTCATTGGCCTTAATGAGGTAAACTCCAAAGCACTGCAACATGTGTTTATTGTTGAATAATTGCCCTTTTGGGAAGTTCTTGCTGTTACCTTCTTAGCCTTAATAGCTAATTTTATCAGCAAGAGTGAAGCCGTCCTGGATGGTAAACAAGATGTTCTCCAGGGATGAAAGAGAGCTGCTGCCCTTTAGTAGGGTTGTTTTAAATGCTGATCTCATTGTTAGACAGACAGGTTTCCCTTTGTGTGAGGGAGATGTTCTGTTTTCCTCTGGGAGAATTCACCCCTAGCAAGACACATAGGGCTGACTCTGCAGATCCTGACCAGTGTGAGGTGTGTAGCATCATTGCAGTCAATGGGACCAATACTCACATGTCTTAATCTGGCATAAATCAAGAAAAGTCTCCCCCAAAGTCAGTTGCCCCAGAATAAAAGAAGCAAGATATCCAAAACTTAACCAACGTGATTACTCATACGGAAGGAATTGCCTCATTGCAGCCTTTGCACACTACTGTATCAACTCTTCCGTTCCCTCCACGAACACTTAAATGTAAAGGTATAAATCAAAACTGCAGGACAGAAAAAGAGAAAGACAAAAGTTACCTTGATGGATTCTGCTTCCATGAGATCCTTCTGGAAACCACTCTGCTTTTATTAGATTTACTCTCTGTAAATTAGGATTAGTTTTTTATATGGATTTATGAAATAGCTATGGTTGTACTGAAAGCAGGGTGAACCCTCTGGTATAAGGCAGGGAGCATGTGCTCTTTTCATCTGTTATTGGTGAGTTACAGTATGTAAGTTAAAGGCCCCTCGATGCCAGTGAAAGAAGAGCTCAAGTTCCAGACATGGAAAATGCTTAAATCTTGTGTATGCCAGCCAGTGATATTAATATTCTATAAACCAGCTAGTTTTCAAAAGGCCAGATTCTGTTCTCAGTTACACTGGTGTAAACCAGACTGTTTTCCTTCTTTTCAGAGACAACGAATTTGCTTTCACGTGTGCTTGAACGTGGACTCTGGCTGTCTGTGTTCAGAGGCAACCTCTCGATTCTTACTTTACTTGCTGTGGGGCTGGTGCTGTTCCTTGCCTGTCATTGTTCCAACTCCCATGTGGTGGGCACATTTCAGAGGGCTCTGAGGCAAGTGTGACTTCACTCAAGGCACTATTGTGCGAGAAACTTCTAGTCTTGTTAATAACTCTGTAAGGTGCTTTGTGAAGGCAAATGTACAGTGGATTGGCTGAAAGACATAGTTTCACAGATACAGCATGAGTGTTCTGTTCCTTTGCAGGGGGAAAATGTATTCTCTGATTTGACAGCTGTAAAAGAAGATAATAAGTTTTGACAGCACAGGGATAATGTTCATGTTATTCTGGGAAATCTCCGTCCTCACATAAATAGGTATTGGTGTGTGCTACAGTTGGTGTTGCTGAACTTTGGTGGAGGCTTCAAGTTTCAGTGTTTGGATAATATGATAAAATTGATAAAATGAATATCTAGAAAGCTCTAATGAATTTCAGACTTGTATTTTTGGGGGAATGAATTTGAGAAAGAAAGTGTTTTTATTATAAATCCAGTATAAGTCTTAAACATTTAAAAAGAATCTGTAGTATTTTGGAGGGAAGGTACATCTTGAATATATTCCACTGCCAGTGGAAAAGGAGAGGAACTGTGAACTGGGTATTTTCAATATGACTGATCTACCAAGTTCTGTTAGTGTGTGCACTTTAAAAGTGTATAGAACTTGTTTCACCAGTGTTCAACACTGTATTTAGATACCCTTTAAATGCTTCATTTATTTACCCATATTAACAGCCAGGAGCCTGATTACACAGTCTTGTAAAGGAAGATATCAGCCTTGAAGTGAGTTAAATTATGATGGGATGAAGCCAAAATAGGAATGGGATAAAGCCTGATGGAGCTGTGGACTCCAGAGGATATCATGATAACTTGTGTCATGATTACAACCGGGGCAGTGCTAATTGTCACAAACATCCCCTTAGGAGCTGAAAGGCATCCAGAGTGATCTTCTGAAATGCTTTGGTCCGAAGTGGCTGCCCTGTGCAGGCTAGAGGATGCTCCATGTCTGTACAGTTTCTTCATGTCTTTAGTCATTCAGAATGATCACACAGTATCGGTGAATTCAGGCCTCTGAATATACTCCTGAAATAATTAGAACATATGTATTAATTACCAGGCCAAAGGCTAACAGCCCGTTTTGTATAGTTAAATACAAACTCGTGTATTATTCCTAAAAATCTTAACATGAGCTTTTTGTCTATATAAAATGATGCTGGCCAACACTTCCTGAGGGTTGCCTTGCCATAGTGATGGAGCTGGGTGGGAAAATCCCAGTATTGTTTTTTTTTTTCCAATTTTAAGTATTCTGACTTCTTAAAAAAAATAGAAATCAGATAAAGAAATGGTCAACAAATGTAATGTATCAGCCAAAGGCTGAAAATGTTTCACTGCAAACAGGGAACTCTGTTCTGGAAATGTCACAATAATGCCTCATGAAACTTGTAATTTGGGTGTCACATGTACCCTCTCTTTTCTGTGGGTCTGGATGCTTGCCTGCACTGCATCTTCATCTGCCATAGGGCTTTCCTATCACAATGGTGCTGCGGAGCATGATGGGGAGGCTGTGGAGCCCAGCCAGTGGAGGAGAATGGACTTTTGTGCTGTGATCCCTTTCACAAATTCTCCAGTTACCAGAGACTTTTTTTGCCTTCCCCAGTCACCTGTTTCTTCTCATTTATACTCACCAAAGACCTGAATGTGATTCTCATCTCTTTCAAAGCATTCATTGTCATTATAGAGGACCACAGCAGCCCAGGCTCTCCCACTTGCCTTTGCTATAAGATTAGAATCATTTAGGTTGGAAAAGACCAAGTCCAGAAGCATTAGCGGCTGCCCATGAGAGAAAAAGGGGGTTCATGTATGTTAAGGATATCTTTGCTTTCAGGGACTGTGTTGAAGATGTAGTATTTTAAAAGCACAGTTCATATACAGTGGTGAAAATGATGGGAAATGGCTACTGTGACTTTTAGCTAGCCTCTGAAGGCTACATTTCTTACAACTGCTTTTATATATGCTTGTCTATGAGTATTTGACTAGGTCACTAGAGGTAAAGAACCCAACTAATATGGTTTAGGTTAAATGGAATTGCTGGTGTTTGACCCATGCAATCTAAACTCTCAGTTTCTGCTTTGTCTTCTCTTTTTAGCTAGATTGTCATTTGTGGTTCTAGATGTATTTCTGAAGAGTATTGCTATAGCTCTACTCTGTTTTACCAACTCTGTTAAAATGTAATATTCACCAGGGACAAATATGTTATTATTATTATTAGCATTAACATTGATAATAATAGCTTGCTTGGAAAATACAGTTAAATGTATACATTGAAACTAAATGAATTACAGTTTTTCACACTGTTGACCTGACAGTAAAGTAGAAACATGCCCATCTAAAGTCATAATGATAATTGTCTGCAAAGAAAAACTTGACTTACGTCACTGTTTTCAGAGGGTGCCTCTCCCTGAAAATAAAGGGAGTCTGAAACATCGCTCTTCAAAATCTAACACAGGCAAGACTCCACCATAAAAATAAACAGAAGGAAATGAAGCTATCAGGCTAAGGGGTTTTTGAGTTACATTATGAAGTGTAAAATAGCCACAAAACTTAAAATGAGAAATAAACAACCGTACTTCAGAGATCCACATTCCTTTGAAATTCATTTTTGCTTCCTTGTGAAACCTTTCATTTCCACTGCCGTGTCATTTGCAAGAATTTTGCAAGGAGATCCGAACCGAGCATGCAAAGCAGTAGTCAGGGTGGAGGGTTCTCAGTCAAAGCCTTATGATTATTAATTTCTTTTGGGGTTTTTTGACAGTGAACGGTGGCTACAATCATTGTAACTTGATCTCCGAGAAGAAGAACATGATGGACATGGAGATGACAAGTAGCTCGGTACCTGTCTGCAGACAAGGTCTATTCATCCACACAGGGAACTCTCTGATGCGAGACCACCCACTGTCCTGTGAGAGACTGCTTCATGTTGGTCAGCTGAACTTGACACACTCCGATATAAGGTACCACCGCAAGTTTTATCGGTTGATATACTTTTGCTCTTCTGGAGTGCTTCTGTGTTGGAACTATTTCTCAATACCCTCCACGGGTGCTGCATTTGGAAGGGTATTTTTGGCTTTTGCTTCATTTTGAAAGTACTTTGAATGCTTCTTTAACCACACTGCTCATCTGCAGGTTTGCACTGCAGGGACATGCACGTGTGCACAGAAAGTGTCCAAGGCGGTGCCAGGAGGAGTCACTGTATGTGCAGCTGCAGCCCCTTGAATTGAAGATTAAACACAGCTGCTCTCTGGGGGCTCTTCCAGCATGCTCAAAAGTCAACGAGAGTTCTGCTAGGGGCTTAAGCAGGGTCAGACTTGCCTCCTCTGTACCTCCACCCCAATGCCATGTTTCTAAATTGCAGCCTGGAAGGCAGGGATGATACTTACTCCCAAACCAATGTCTCCCATATGACAATTTGGCATGTCACCATCAAACCTACAGGAAGCCAATGCCACTACAGCGTTTCCTTTAATGAAGTATTTTCAATGTTCCCATACAGCCACATCCTTGGTATTTGCTTTTAAGGCCGTAATGTGAAAATTTGGGCTCTGGTTTTGATATACACACTGAAGCTGGATATGCTATGAACAGAATCTCTATTTAAACATTTGCTATAAATTAATTATATGAAAACACAGAACGCCATTATTTTTTTGTTGTTGTTACAAATTTAACTTTACCAGATTTTAAACAAGTACCCTAAACAGACATCCATTGTGAATAGAAGCCTGCTACAAATTAAAATCTGTCCATCTATTTTAATTGCACTGCTTTTTGGCAGGCAATATAATACGGAATAATCCTGACCTTTTTGAAGAGCTGTAGAAAAGAAAAACCTCAGTAAAGTTGCAGCCTTTATCTTAGATACTTGGAATAATTGGCACTCTGTGCATGGAACTATCAAGCCCAAATTTCCATAGTCATAGCAAGAGGAAACATGGCCTACAGCTTAGTCTTGGACTGTTTCTGATTTTATTATACATATTTATGTCTTGTTTTCCCTTTTCCATTTACTGGTGGGGTAAGAACATCTGTGTTTTCAGTAGGAGGAGGCACAGGAATATGGCAAGCAAGTGGAAAGAGCTGTTTGTTTGTTTGTTTGTTTGTTTGAAAAGGACAAATAATATCCATGCCACATAACAAAAATACCCTGCAGTTGCTACAAGGATTTGTAGATGCCTTTGCATCTGGATGTAAGTCTGCTCCCTCTTAGCTTCTTTCTGGCTCACTGTGGGACTAGCAGTTACCAACCTTCTTTTATTCTATCAGTTTATGAAACAAAGATAATTAGGGCAGGAGCAAACAAAAAGGATGAAGAGAATACTCTGCTTAGATCTTTATGAACCTTTTTGTAAAATCTATAATGAAGAAATGACAGATAGCTGCATACCAGGCATCGCAGTACCCACCTCAGAAATATGAACCTATTCCAGCTCCCATTTGCAAGAGGATTCCCAGAACGACATAAAGGATTGTCTGCTGCATAACATGAGAAACTAGCAGGTGACGGGCCTGATTCCCTCCCCTTTGCTTTGTAGCATCATCTAAAGCCTTGAGGCTCTGTTGTTTCTAAGCAACAGTTTGAAAATGTTTGGAGGTGATCTTGGAGGACCTTCTGTTCCTTTATGGGTTATTTGTGTGTCCCACTAGTCATGCTCTGCTTGTCTGTCCACCTCACTAATACTGCTTTTGTCTGCATGGGGTTTGCAAGGTAAAGCTAATGCCCAGCTTTGGTCTATGGACCTCATAGACACAGTGTCTAATTTCATCATTATACTACTCATGAGACACCGAGCCAAAACCTTGTCTCTTGTGAGAGAGGATGGACAGCAGTTGGGATGATTTCTGTTCATGCTGTTTGTGATGCTAAAGGTTCTTGACAAGCAAGTAACAGAAAACATGGTCTTTCCCTGAAGATCTGAAAACAGGAGAGCATAACTGAGGTGGGGGTGAATGCCCATCAGGTTCCAGTGAAGTCAGTGGGAGTCAACGGTGCTCTGTGCCTCCCCAGATTTCAGTAGAAAATAGAAGAGAGAAATAGGGCTGGAATAGAGAGAGATATTGGAGCACACAGAAGTCAGGGCAAGCTCTGGTTGTTCTGTCCAACTCTAGTAACCAGCACAGAAATAAAGGAAGATGCAAATTCAAATGATCTCTTTGGGTTGAGCTTTGAACCACTCTGCATTTCTAGGGTATGGAACACCCAAGGAAAACCCAACAAACCAGAGAGCACCTCCCCTAGCAATCAAAAATCTCCCTTAGGATTTGGGGTTATGATTGGCTTTGTCCTTCCTTCCCTCAGTGAACTGAAATTTGTTATCCCCTTCAGCTTCTTCCTCAATCACATTCTCTCAGTAACTGTATTCTAGGGATGACTGCCTTAATCCAAGAATCACAATCCGCCTTCTTCCCAGCCCCTTTTTCCCACTCAGTTAATAGCTTTTAAGTTGTGCAACATAATTGCTGCGACATGCTATCTGTGTGTGGGACTGGAAAAGTCCTCATACCTTCCTCACCACAACTGGAGTCAGCACACAGCTCATGTTGGCCTTTTGTCAAATAATCCATTATCAGTCACGGCAAGCCCGCCACTATGTGCTCACTGCTCGGCATCTAAAACTGGGGAGACATCAGAGCAGTCAGATAGTGTTGCAGAGGGATGCGCAGCAGAACAATCCGCTCCAGCTTCTTAAACCTGTCAGTTATCACTGATTGCACATTTACAGTGGCAGTTGAAGGCATGCATGTTTTGTAAATAATATGGAGATTTCAGATACAGTCGTCTTTTCCTCTGAGGGCAGTTGGGAACTGCAGTACTTCTGGCATGGTGCTGCTGGCCTCGTGCTCTGGCTCCAATTACCACAGAAGGGAGTCTCTTTGGAAACGCTGCCGTAGTATCCTCTGAGAGGCTGCTGTTACTCTTCAAAAGCCTCACACTCAGCTTTCATGTGCTTAAGCAGCAGTTGTGTTGCCTCAGATTGTCCATCTCTGGTACGTGGATGCTCCCTATGAAGAGGGGTGTGTTCTCCTGCTGACTCCACTCCTTTCCAGGGCTGCTTGTTTGGAAGCTTCCCAGAGCTGCTCATGCTGCGTGTCCACACAGTGCTCTTTACACTCTCCTGCACTCATTTGTCCCTTTTGCTCTCCTCTTGGCTGTTTGTTTCATATGCATTTATATCTGGCTACTGTCCAGAGATTGTGAAATCCGTACAGCCGGCACTGCCTGTGTGTACCAGGCCCGGAATCTGATCCCTGGCTCCAACAGCAAGATGCCATTACAAGAGCAAATAGCCAGTGGGTAGAAGAGGAGTCGCCCAGTAAGTTGGATGCCAGATGTTTTGTTTCTCTCTCACATCAGTTTTATTTCCGTGCCCCTTCTCCCCTCACCCTGCCTAGGACTGGGAGATTCAAGCAGGGCTTTCCCTGGAACAGTGAGGGCAAAATTCTGCCATGAACACCGGGAGTTTGTATTAATTGTATTACCTTGATGTTAAGTACCCCAACACTCAAGCACTGGGACAGTGAAAGAAGGCCAGATTCTGTCAGCAGTGTTAACTGACATAGGATATATAATATATCTACATGTAGAGGACCACAGAGAAAACTGCAGCTCCCAGGAGGGGCTTGCTTCTGATCTGCAGAAGCAGCCTGTGCTTATCATTATGTAGGCAGAATATGGATAAGACATGGCTGTGGCAGTGGGAAGCGTGAATTCAGCAGCTTCCTCTCATTTGCTTTTGATAAGCTATTCCAGCTTGTCTTTCGATTCAAAACTCCCCTTTCATGTGTCTCACATTCTGCACTGCAACATCAGAGCAATATAGTCCTGAGTCCGAGTAAGATCTTGTGCTGGATGGAAATGCAGATCAATGTTCCTGGGACTTTGGGGAGTGTAATATTCCTCAGGACAAGGATGTTTGCATCCATCCTGCAGGTTCTCTGCACAGACTTCAGCTTGAACTCCTCACATGGACTTCTGGCAAGATAGGAGCTTTACAGAAAGCCTAATAATATGACACCAATTATCACAGGCTGAAATGTAAAGCGTGGGTTAGCTTTATATGATGGAAGAAATGTGTTGTGTTTACTTAAGCCTGAGGCTTTGGGGCCGCTAAAATATGATACAAACTGAATTATTTCACAGAGTTCTTGTACAGAAGAAATTAAGTAGTAGGAAATAGTGTGGTGTGCTGTAAAACCTTTCTCAGAATAGGTTTAAAGCAGCACACTTTACACTGGGGGTTGGAACTGGATGATCTTTAGGTCCTTTCCAACCGTAACTATTCTATGATTCTACACAGCAATGAAGCTACAAGCAAGCAGGGCAGGGTTTCCCAAACATGTGCAAGAAAAGGTTTTTATGTATGCTTATGGCCCATATTTTAGAGACACGTGGTTCTGTAAATGTTAAAAAATAATGTATGAATATGTATGGGGTTTGTTTTCTTTTTTTTTAATTTGCCATCTGCAGAACCAGGTGCTTTAAGTTTACCCTGAGACCAAAGTTAAAGGGAGGATTTACAACTAATGGTTTATGGAAGCCTCTCTTTAAATTTCTGGTGGCAAATGCAAGATCTGATTGCTCTATAGCAATGGGTGGTGGGGAATTTCACTTCTTTCATACCCTCAAAGGGGTTTTTTATACCAAGCCCTACTGGCTGAGAACTGGTGGGGCTTAGTGGATCCACTATCACTAGTGGATGCAGCATTACCAGTTGCGTGCCTCACAGCTCTAATTTTTTGACAACCTTAATTTCATGAGGAGGAAGTCTTTTTAAACCTTGCTGTTATTGTTTCATTCTTCCTAATCCATGGTTCTTTGAGAGCTATCACGAAGGAAGTGTTAGAAGTTGTCCCAGTTTCCCATCTTAATGTTAGTGGTGTAACAATGGAAATAATAGTGATAAAGTCATCAAAGTTGTAAAATAAATGCAGTTTCTTCGGCAGCTTTGCAGTTTAATGTATGTGTATATCCAAAATACCTTATGCATACATGTTTCATGCTTTAAAATGTGTCAGATTTATCTCAGCTGTGGTGTCACACGCAATTTGCCCAATAACCAGGTTTTCTTCAGCTTTCGTGGTGCTAGCATCAAGCATAAAATTCATTTAAGTGGAACATGTCGGTGTAAGAGCCGTGGAGCACCTCTCTGGAGGGTTTATTAGTTCAGGTACAGCTTTCCTGCACACAAATGCACTGTTTCCTCTTCTCGGTCTGGCACATCGCTGCATGATGAAGCCATAGGTTAAACCTTCCCGTGCTTTAGGGATACGTAAGGAACACCTTCTGGTCCTCGATAAAAACACACAGTTGGTCACCCCCAGTAAATGTCTATAGCTGAGATAAAATGTTTTATTTTAAGGCATAAGCCAGTTGCTAACTGTTTGGAAGAAAAATGTTAGGAGGAAACGTTTCCTTTCTGCAATGTCTACGTGGTATTCCCCAAGGTTCTCCTTCCTGAGTGATTGGATTCAGCACACATCCAAAAAGATTAAAAATCCCTTCTGAAGAACTATTTTCTTTTGATTTGTAGTCACATATAGACTTTAATATGAAAAATAGAGATGGGAATACACAGGCTACCAGTTTAAATCTACAGGTTGTGAACTTTCCTTAGTTATGGTTTGTAGACCTCTTAGGAAGCAAAAGTATTTGCTTGATCTCTCAGCTACTCCAGACCACTGGTTGAAAATGAGCTGTTCTTTACACATATTCCTTTTTTCCTCGCTGATCTTGCTCCTTTTTTCATTTAGTGAAGGAGAGCATCTCTCTGAGATGTAAGCAAAGCTCAGCTTGCTTTTCTTGATTCTTGTGAACAAGAATGCCAGGGCATTTCCCCAGTGTGCTCTGAGGAAAATGCTGATATTTGAATAATTCAAAAATGCCCAAAGCTCTGAAACTTCGTTCTCAGCTATTGTTTTGCCCAGTCTATTATGCATTGAAAACCTAGATTGTGATTGATGAACTGCCTGTAGCAGTGGAGGGGAGATTGTCTGTTCTGTGCGTAACCCAGTGTGTAAAATTAATCCTGTGTAAAATGATGCTGCCTTTACAAGGGCTGTAGAGGAAACATTGCAGATGTTTTGGGTGTAATTGCTGCATCAAACTGGCAACATTCAACAGAGAGCAAGTGCTTCTATTCTGCAGGGTTTAACAAGTGTTGTGTCTCATAGAAAAATCATAAAGCCTGTAGTAGTTAGTGATACTTAATGAAAACTGTATTACAGGTCACCCAGGTTTCAAGACTCAGTTGATTCTGCTGCTCCATGCCTGAATGGAAGTCACCCAGCTCAGCACATTAAACAAGAATGCCCGAGTGATTATAAGGTTCTGTCTGAGGCTTCCACACATAGGAGGATTACAGAGGGGATGGAGCTAAGAGCCTCTGGTAGTCTGCATCCTGAAATAGACCTAATGAATAATAGCTTTACAAATTCACTTTCATCCTACTTGTTTAATAATGAACATAGCTCCTCCCTGGGTCCTTTGTCACTTGGCACCCCTCAGCACTCGGCCAGGCTACAAACAAGCAACCTGAAGAAGAGATGCATCTCTGTTGTGCCGTCTTCATCTGAAGGAATTGATATTACAGCTATCATCCGCACATCACAGACGTCACTGGTCACCTGTGTGAATGGACTGCGAACTAATTCAGCTGGCATTTCCTCTCAGCCTGTGGAGATCAGTCATCACAGTGCTCAGAAATCCTCTCGGCCCCAGTCTTGCTCTCAGCCTGGAAACCCTTGCAGTATTCCCTCCCCTCCAGCATGTCTTGTACCTATTTCTGCTGAATGTGACAGAGGTGACTGTGAGCAGATACAAATGCAGCAAGTTGAGGAGAATGGAAGCCTCAGCCTTCTGATGAACGGTAGTAGCGTCCCTCATCAAAACACCTTGCACGGCACCCAGAAGGTGAGTTTCTTAAAACAAGAACCAGCTGACGATTATTCCTCCACTGCTGATCTTTTTCGACATCACCAGGGGCTGCCTCCTCCTTACCATCTACACCAGCAGCTAAGCCAGGCCCAAGGGACGCTGCCTCACTTACACGCCTCTATGTCTCCAAAGTCCCTGCAGCCCAGCGATGGGGACGAACAGGAGCTCAGCAATGGCAAACAGGTCTGTCAGTGGATTGACTGCAGTGCCACTTACGACCAACAAGATGAACTGGTCAGACACATAGAAAAGACTCACATTGACCAGCGGAAAGGAGAGGACTTCACTTGCTTTTGGGCAGGCTGTGTCCGCCGCTATAAACCCTTCAATGCTCGATACAAACTGCTGATTCATATGAGGGTTCATTCTGGAGAAAAACCAAACAAGTGCATGGTAAGCCTGGAATATATTTGTTTGAATAGAAACATACTGCTCTGCTCTCTTTCTTGCTCTCTCTTCAGTCTTATTCCAATGTAATCGTTGTGTTTTCCTGTAACTTTGTTTGCAGCAGGCTAAAGGGGAATTGGAGAAAACCATAATCTAGAAGGAAATGTCTGAGTAAGAAATACTGTAGTTCTTGGAAGGGGGATTCAGTTTCCTTATAGGAGAGCTTAACTTTCAATACAGTGCTTTATTTTTTAAATATTCATTAAAGCATTAATAAAGTGATGATCAAAGCACACAGCAGTCACTTAATGTAAAACAAAGTCACTGAGCCTCGGGTGACATTTTTAATCAAGAAACATAAAACACATCTAATGAAATTCTTCTCATTCCTTCAGCTGAACAATAACCCATAGACTTGTGAGTGCCGGAGTTTCAAGTGGTACTTTAGAAAAGAAAAAGAAACTTGTTAAAGGATTTTAAACAGTTAAAGAATAAAAGAATATCTTTAATTACATTTTCAAAGGTTTTTTAGGGGCTTTTTTCATTTGCAAACCAGAGCTTTAAAAATAAGTAAAAACCATTGTTCTCTTCTGATCAAGAAGATGTAAACAACATCAGTGTTCCAAAAAGAGGATCTTGGGAATAACACCATCTCTGCATCTGCCCACCATGATGACAATATGGCCAAACTAAAATAAAAGTTAATGACTTCCATTAAGCTTTCCACATGTTTGAAACAACAATGATATAAGACCCTGACTGAAACCGATGAAGCAAAACAAGTTTGACATAAGCTTCCAAATTGGGCCATGAAATTTGGCAAGTCTTGTTTGTAACACCAACACGTGTGCATGAGCACACACACACACACACACACAAGTACAGACAAAGGGAATGGTTATAGCAGCAGGTTGTGGTTCTCGATAGATGGACTTTTTGACTATATATCTATTTTATTGTTTTGATCAGAGAGGGATATAATGGAAAATGTTTGTAAGGCAAGGCAGATTTTCCATGACAAGCTGGAGTGTTCTATGGAGGAATAGGAAAGAATGTCTATATAAAAATCTTGGGTTTTTTTGTCATTTGTTCAAGAAAAAGCTTGCTGGCCTGCAATGGTTATGGAAGGGAGAAGGAAGAAGATGACAGTATTCAGAATGTGTTACAGAGAATAATTTTCTCGGGAAGTGGTCTTCCTTGTGATCTTCTTACTTCCACTGGATAAATGAAAAATGCTAACTTAATGCCTGCGCTGTTCAGTGGGTATTCCCCAAAGTAAGGCTGCAAACGTTGCAGATAGAGAACGCAGTCAAGTTGTCCAAGATAAAATGGAATTACTGTAAGACTTACCCGTTTCTTTTTCCTTTGAGAGAAAGGAACTGACTTGCTCGTTTCCAGAAGTAGCTCAATCACAATTTGTCAACGTACAAAGGAATTTAACTTCCTATTTAAATCTTTTATTTGGTCAGAAATCATCAAAGGATAATGCAAGTTACTTCCTGCCTTCCAAACAAAAGTATAGGTAAGCAAGCCGTGAAAGCACACTTATGGATTCTATTTTAGCCTATTTGTTGTTTTTAGTGTTTTTATCATCTGGAATGAGATCAGGCTTCTTCCCACTTATATCTCATAGTTTTAAAAAGAAATACTTAAACCATGAAACCCTGATTAGCTTTACTACGATGCTGAAAGATTCAGTAGATTCCATGGGTGAGGGAACTTTTGTCTTTTTCTGCAAAATGGATATTTGACGGGTATTACAATAGCAGGTTTCTAATGTTACATTCCCATTCCTACAGGAAACTGGATAAACCAGTGATGTTAAATCATGTAATGTCTTAGCAAATGGTAAAAGTTTCCTACTTTCAGTTATTTTCAGCTGCACCAAAGAACTGGCTTTTGATAACATCTCAAGGTTTAACATTGTGAATAGGTTGGAAAAACCTTTGCATCTGATATTGCAGACAGCCTTCATGGCACATATCTTACAGCCTTGGCATGTAAGTACATAAAGATCTGTTTTATTTGAGCAGATATTGCAGTTGTTCCCATACATGGAATGCCTCAATCAGAACTAGGAACTTTACATTGCACAATTTGCAGTTAACTCCTCTATTCCCAGAATAAGCCTTTCACTGTCAGTAGAGGTATCCGTGTATTAAATGTTACAACCTGGAATCTTGTGTGGAGTAAAGCTGGATCACAAGTGACCACATGAGAAACATGTCGCCTTTGCAGATTTAGTTTTCTACTCTGGAAAGACCTTGATCTAACAGGGGCAAGATCCAAAGCTGTAACAGGGCTCCGTAAAGTTATTAATATCAAGTGGGGATTATTTGCCCAGCGAATTCCATTCCACTCTAAACCAGGGTTGCTGTGCAGTGTTTCATTGTGCAGTGATGTCATGTCATTTTAAATGATGGCTTTTCTTTTGATGTGGTAATAATTGTGCTGTTATTCCTGCAAATTATGAAGGCGATTCATTCTCTGTCTACAGAGGTCTGAGATTTTGTTTCGTTTTTGCTGTAGCTCTGTTAAAGTAACTTTACATCTCTTGGTATTTGTAGTGGAGATTTTCTTTCGCTGTTCACAATTACCCATTGTACTTTCTTTTTAAGCCCTTAGTTTTGTTCCTCTCTGTAAGATTACTGCCTGACTAGGTATTGAACTGCTCAGAAGCTAACAGTGAGCAGCACCCCACCCTCGTACATACAAGTGCTTTTCCATGTAAAATTATTAATTTCTTATGACAGGCTTTGCTACTATGTACTGTAATAGACAAAGGAATTTTGGAATTCAAGCTACTTGAGAACAGGAAATACAAGAGACATTTTGATTGAAAAGTAAATGGTTCACTAAAACTGCAGTTAATCCTTTTATTATCTTTCCAACAGCAGTTTCCACAATACTTTCATGAGGTAAGCTTCCTCCACTCCAACTGTAACACTCTCATCATTACAGCTGGTTTAAATTTAGCTAGCCTGCTTCTTTCTGTACGACAGACACTCGACAAGCAAAACAGTATCTGGTGGAGAGAACTACTGATGTTTTGGGTCCATATTCTGCTCACTGTGTTGTGTTGCCAAAGCCGGTGCTATGAGTATTCTGGTTTCATCCTCTCTTAAATATTCTAATTGAGCAGTGACTTCTCGTCATTGTGTCTCTCAGTTTGGTTTTTCCTTGGGCTCTGCAAGTAGTCTAAAGGAAACTGCCTAATCTCTTTGCAATATCCTGTTATGTTTCATACTTAACTCATGTTATTTTAGTTTTATTAAATTTGAGGTTCATCTGCATTATAATCAAAAATATATCCAACAAAAATAATGATGCAATGCCTGTAAGACTTAACTTCTGAAGATTAATTTCATGCTTTTTTAGATTTGATGTCCCAGACAATTGGAATTTTGATTGTCTGAGACAGCAAAAATTAGCAAGCTTAAATGGTTTTTAATATATAAAAAAAGAAAGTTGTTTCTCATAGCTGCATCTTCTAGTGTCTTTCAGTTCTTCCAATACTTTGGTGGGTAGAACCCTGCTGATCTCCAGATATTACATCCTCAGTTTAAGCCTCTGCTTGCAAATGTAAATATAGAGCTGCTCCTTTAGTTGACTAGAATTGTTTGATTTGGACAAATCCATACTTGGCTTATTAGTTTACCCTCTTGCACTCTTGTGGCTTCATAAAGAGTAGAAAATTAAGTTCCCATCACTGCATGCGTATGTGCCCAGGGAACTTACATTGCAGGCCTCCACAGACATGATCAAGGTAGATATCTTTATCCTATGTGATTTCCACAATATGCAATTTGTGTTTATATAAATTGGGTAGCATAATGCATGTGATACCCATGAAAGGAGCCGGACAGTGCTAATAGTTTATGTTAATGTCTTTAGTTCATGTATTTCAAAGAAATAAATGCTTCTTGAGTATGTTCTAGACCTGTCTGTCACATCATGTCCTTGCCTAGATAGTTAAGACTTTAAAGCAGAATCTTCTTTTCTTGCATACATGCAACATATTCACTTTGGGAATAGCCTTGATGCAATGATTTGATTGCTGTATTGCACACAGTGAAATTCAGCACCTCTGTTGTTTGTAGTCAGTTCTTTTGAATCCCTAAGGGTGAGACACTGTAGGTCCTGCATTAAACATGGGGAAATTGAGACATAGAGAAGATAAGTAACTTGCCTAAAGGCAGCTTTATGCAATTCTAGCATTTCAGTGCAGATCTTGTGTTCAAATCAGTACATCACACAAATGGACCATTTGCAATTTACCTATGAAACAGATTTTTGTACAGATAATGCAAAAGGTAGCAGCCTGGCTAAGCTTCCTGTTATTTTTACTGTACACCTATGACACAGGTGATTTGCCATGTTATAAACCTGTAAAAAAATTCATCAGAAGGTTTGGCTATATTTGTAATGCTTATTACAATTACAGGAGAAAGGGGCCTATAGAGCAGATCAGTAGTATTGCTTTTGCTACTAAGGAAACCAACGTGGAATCTCTGTTCTCAGTCGATAGCAAGTATTATGCTGTCTGCGGTCAGTGGGGAGCATGAGTTTAGCAATGCATGGTGAGTAATGAGATCTCTACAGGCTACATCTACAGATGAGTCTAAGGACAATCCTGCATCTGCAGGGAAAATAGGTCTGCATGCACCAGCTTATATGCTTTTGAATTACTTCACCTAAACAATAAGTTTCCATGCCTGACTCGAGGGAATGTTGTGGAAGTCTGGAAAGTATTTTCAGCTTTTGGGGTGGAGGGTGTCATGCACTGGTGCCAAAGGAGTGCTTTAAAAACCCAATAATAATATTAGGCTCACTTTCTTTCCTTTGAAGTTAATAGTAGGAAACATCCATGCTATCAAAGCTGCCTCACCAGAGATCTCTCTTTTTATTAGGTCTCTGATGGCGTTTCCCGATACTGTCAAGGAATTGCAGCATTAAAACCACTCTGAGTAGAGAAGTAGACAGCAGTTCAGTGGTTTTGTGAAAAT